TGGAAAGAGCTGCTGATTACCCCCGGAGTTTCGTTTAGATTTTTCGGTTTTGTCGTTCCAGAGCCGTCAGAGTTGCGAGAACGAAGGTAATGGTTTTGGCCGTGTTTTCGGTTATCGATTTAATGGGCTAGGGTTTTTGAGTATTTGCTGAGGCCATAGAGGGAAAAATCATTACAAATGGCGCCCAACGTGGGGCCTCTTAAAAAGTAGAGGCTAATTGATCTAGTTTCCGTCTAAACTTTGGAATGTGTTTCGACTTGGGTTTGAGGATTATATACATGCTTTTCAATTCACCAGTCGCAATTAACAATCAACTTCGAGTAAATAATAGGTAATCTCTGAAATTCCATACCGCCAATACTCCCCTTAATCCGCGAAGCTACCTAAGAGGAGAAGAGAGAGACCACTTCCTCGGAATTAATTAACTTCGCTACCTTGCCGCATGAGAAATGAACGGAAAAGAATTTCGCTGCCTTTCCACGGAAACTATTTCGCTACCTTTACAGATACAAATTCCTTCGCTACCTTTCCGAAACAAAATTTTTGGGCTACCTTTCCGGATCAACGATTTGTCGCTACCTCTATAAATCTAAGAATTAATTAATCTGCTACCTTTTGGGTAAAGAACTAAGTCGCTACCTTTCGGATTTGACATTAACTCGATACCTTTCGAATCCAAACTGCTTCGCTATCTTCCCGGATTAAAATTATTTTGCTACCTTTCGGATTAAAATTATTTCGCTACCTTCCGGATTAAAAATTAATCGGCTACCTTTTGGAGGAAAATTAAGTCGCTACCTTTCGGATTTGGAGTTAATTCGCTACCTTTCGGATTTGGAATTAATCCGTCACTTTTCGAATCAAAACCGGGTCGCTATCCTTCCGGATTAAAACTAAGTTACCACCCCTCGGATTAGAAGTCTTTCACTAATATTTCGGGGCCGAATTATGCCCCTACCTTCTCGAAAAATTAATTTGCTACCTTCTCGGATTAAAAGTAATTCGCTAGCTTTGGGGACTGAATTATTTCGCTACCTTCTCAACAACTCATTGTGCTACCTAGCTACCTCCGGGAAAATCGACTTCGAGACAATGCTAATTCCTCGGGGATGACTCATCCCTCGAGACAAATAAAATTCCACAACGATGAGTCATCCGAAGGGAACCAACAAAAATCCTCTCTACTAAGTGATCCCTGGTTGCTACCTTACATCATCGATACCTCACGTACCCTCACGCGATATAAAGGGACACGAGAGGAGTGGGGAGGAATTATCCTCCACCCTGGAAGGGGTAGTGGAAAATCACCTCCCACCACCGAATGGACCCTAGGTTCCGACGCTCCGAGGACCGCTACCGGCGTCCTTTCGGAATCAGAGTGTCAACTGATATCGACGTGAAAAAGTTAGTACCGTATAACAAAGTCAATCGCGACTAGTGAGCAGTGCGGAGTACGGTTTGACATACAGTTATCAATAGTTTCTTAATAACCTTTAAGTTTTCAGAGAGTGTTATCAAGAAATAAGCACCACAGGGAGTACCAATTATTTAAGCGCTTACATTGTTTGCTAAGAGGCGGAATTAAGCTCACTATTCAATTCCTCTCCGCCTCTTCTAATTAACCCGCCTTGCAATTTTCACGTGCACGGGTCAGTCATCCGTCGCTACCTTCTTTGGGCTAACTGTTAAGTCATTACACCACTATCTTCTCCTTAGCTACCTTCTTTTATTAATTTAAGATTAACAATTTTGTCAGTGTGTTATATCTATATATATATTTTTTCTTTTGGCCTTGTTTTACTGTGCTGGAATTCGTTAACCACTTGACGTTTTGTTTTGCTGCCACCTTCCGCGCTACCTAGAAATTCACCGCAACGTTCCTCGGTTAATCCCGCGTGGATCCCAGACTCGGACGAATCGGAACGTTACCTCACCATCTCCTTGCTACCTTTGAGTTATCGAAACCCTCCCACATCTAACCGATTCGCTAACTGGAACCTGTCGGGAAGATGTCGGATCCGGGACAAGACCCTGGACGGTCCAAAAAGGACCAGCGGAAACTATGGATCGACCCAGAGTCCACGGACGCCATGACAACGATGCCGAGTATTAGCGTAGAGGCCCCGGATGGCCAGCCGACGACAACCCCGGGACAAACGAACTCGGCGGAAGACGCTTCACTACCTACGCTACCTGGACAGGCCTCGCAGGCCAGCCAAACCGACCCGAAGGAAACGTTGCTCAAAGTTCCCGCGCCGAAACGAACTACGAGAACTCGGCAAACGAAGACCAAACCGAGCGAGCTACCTATCACGGAACTTGATGAGGATAATCGATCCACCGGTTCTAGTTATCAAGGGGAAAGTGATGCAATTGGGCTGGAGCCGCCTAGCCGAACCCGGGTTCGGAAACCACGAGTTCCCAGCTCTCCCCCCCAGACTAGCCAGCTACCTATGATCGCCGCGCTACCTCAAACCACTCGGACTCCGTATCAGGAAGTGTGGGACACGTTACCTCGATCCAGTGCCCTCTTCGGAAATCCAGCTACCTGCGGCGTCGAACGTCAACCTGCTACCTATCGCGAGGGTCCGACTACAGCCCTGGACCGCCCCGTAGCTACCTACAGGGACCCGGATCCCAGTCATTACGGGTCACGACGAATCCTGTACGGACCGGAGGAGCTACCTAATCGGCGCAGAATCCAACCGCTATACCGGGATTACGAAGGCGTCGAGGAGGACTACGGTCAGCCCTCCACGCGCCCGCTCTCTCCATCAGCTCTCTTAAGTATCATGCGGCGTTGGGATTTGCAATTTCGGGGCGAAGCCGGCGAAGATGTTGAGGACCTCATCAG